GTTTGGTTTATATTTTTACTGGTTTGAATGATTAGGAGTTGCAATGAACATGAGGACCGAAGAATGGAATGACATGCTTAAGACAACGTACAATGGACAGAAATTCACAATCGTCAGCGTTAAGGAGCACAAGACGGCTACAACTCAACTTGCAACGTTTGCCCTTGACGAGGAACAAGAGATGGAAAGTATCAAATCCAGTAACGTCATAAGCCAAATGGGCATTACTTGGTGAGAGAGTTATGTTCTTGGAATGTTCGGAAAACGTTAACCGTCCTCGGATGGGTTCGAAATATACCAAGTGCTGTTCAATTTAAATCCTAATGAAAATTAAATGTAAATTCTTTCCCTCTTTAGTGGTTCCACACATATTACACAAAGATTCGCCCCTACTTTTTCAAGCCTGGCAAGTACAATCTCAGCAGCGACGACGACGCGTACTTCTTCCTTTCGAGTACGGGGACCAAGCTATTCAATGCTTCAAACGACCTCGCAAGACTGCACAATAGGTTAGTGATACAGCTATCCTGACATGTACAGTTTCTGATGTAGATGTATAATCTGGATCACACTCTGTTCTTCTCGTGCGTGTGGTTATGACTTGTTACTGGATTACACACTTTTGCATAATCTCCATCACTGGTTGATTATTATTATTGTTTATGCTGGCATAAGTTGTTTGTAAGTTGAAGTATAGTCGAAATGTGTAGTTATAACAGAAAGTCAGTACAGTGCGTTATATAGAATACCCACTTGGTATTTAATCAGCTACCATACAGGCGTATAAGCCTCACGGTAGAATTATTCTGAATTTAATACATCTTTTTTTTGCAGATTTAATTTGCCAATCGTCACCTGCAATCAGGTAAGAAAATCTTTAGAAACTGCATCATCAGCAACACTAGGAGACATCGACCGCCGCCACATTGCCGACTACCTCGCACACACGATCGACGTTGCCAACCGCCACTATGTCATCAAGGAAACCGCCAATGTGGCAAAAGCTGCTCAACTGATTGGACGCCTGGTGTAAGTGTACTGTCAAATATTTATTAAATTAATTGGCATATTGACATGAGTTGTATAGAATATAGAATATATAATACATAAACATTAACATAAACATAAACATTTTACAGACACCCTGCAGCTACTCGTATGAAACCAGCCAGCGATGATACAACGGGAAGTGAGAGCGCGACAGGCACAGCCAGTACTGCCAGTGTGGCCCAGTCAGCTGTGTGTCGCTACAATCGCCCTTGATGAGGATCCACCTACACTAAAGACCTGCAAGGACATCGACCAGCAAGATGGACAACGACTCTACAATCGATGGATGTACGAACGAACGAAGTTGCGAGGCAAAGAACTAATCGGTTAGGCTTAAAATCAATTTTTGCCATGGCCACACATTCTGCCACCAAAGATAAATATCATTACACACAGACACTTAAACACACACGCCCCCCCCACACACTCACGGGCGCACACATACTACACACACGTGCACACACACACGCACCCTAAAGTTTAAATTTCTAATGCAAATGAAGAATGCGTGATTTCATTTTGCGGGTGACAATATTTCATTGCATGCCACCGTAAAAAGCCTGGCTTGCTCGCTGACTTACTGTCCACCTATATGCCAAATGCTAAATGTGTGACATATCTAATAGAAACGGGGCATGTGTGATTCACCCGTCTGCACTCTGCCTAAGGATAGCGTGAAAATCGTTGACATTGTGAAAGTGGGGAATGTCAGCTCTGATGCTGTTTCCCGTCGGACAATATTTTACTTGTTTCGGGCTAATTTGCATTGTATTAACACAGGCGCATTCCCAAGAACAAGACCATCACATCACGCCTAAAGAAGCTCATGAAGAAAAAGATGGGAGCAAAAAGAAGCAGAGTCCTACACAGACAACGGAGACCATCATTAGCGAAAGCGCGGTAAAATTAGTGGAAAGGCCCACTTAAAAAAGTTAATTTAAAGCAAAATGGCCCGGGCCTTAACGTTGTCATCGGAAAAAGGAAAGGGGTTAAAACAACGCTCCATACATAAGTGAGGTAATGGCACTACCAAGGCCCGCTACCACGATGAAGCTAAAAACAAGAGAAATCATGGACACGTGGTACCTGTTAATTTTTCAAGAATAGATAACTGCAAAAAACAGTGTATTAAGCAAACGTTCCATCTCATTGCCATCCCACAAAAGAATCCACCATTGCCGATTAATAAACCATTTCAGAAAGCTCGATGCAAATTAATAAAAACCTTTGTCGTAACATAAAATAACTGTTTTATTCAAAGCACCCTGACATTGGCTGTAAGATGAGAGTTATTTGATTATGGTTTAGAAGTCTCTTTCAGGGGGTGGGGGGGGGGGGCGAGTCAGAACTAGCCTGCTGAATATAGAATGTATGTAATGTTTAATTGTAAGTCAAGTTTAGCTATTATTTTGTAACACTGTATGCGTGGTTGTTTCATGTTCAATTAATCGTAGCCAGTTGGTGTTGCTAATTTGCTGGGCATAGTGACCCTAAATCCCGGACATTTCGTGCACTACCATCCTGTTACATATATTATTTCAGCCTGTATTATGACACTGTATGCGTGTGTGTCATTTCCATAATCGTAGCATGTGGTGTGCTAAATGTTGCTGGGCATAGTGTACCCCTACACCGCCGTTGACATTTGTGGCAATACGTGCACACGTGGGGGGGGCGCGGGGGGGGCTACAAATTTATTTCATCCGGTGATATGGGACAACGTAGCTGGTTCATGTTCCCATAATCGAACATGTGGTGCTTAAATTGCTGGCATAGTGTACCCACACCGCGGACATTGTGGCAAGTATCGGCACGGTACACATATTTCAGCTGTTTATTATTGTACACGAACTGTTGGTTCATGATTTCAATAAATCGTAGCAGCTGTGGTGTTCTAAATTTGGCTGCATAGTGGAGCCCCAAACACCCACAGTTTGTGCAACTCGTGCACTGTTACACTGAATATTCTGCATTCCATATTTACTTACTACTATACCCGTAGGTAAGATTCAGACAAAATATTTCATACATTATGTACTTTCTTTACTATGTCAGGCTTAAAATTGCCATATCACGAACATCTCAGTAAATTAAGAGGCCAGATATATAACTATTGAAGGCGATTACAAACTCGCAAATATGATCGCAGCAATATTGTTGCACTTCTCCGACATCAGTTTCTTCTGAAACGAATCACTGTGCTGGCTCTTACGCCTGACGTGGTCACACTGTTACTAAAAGAACGCAATAAGTGCAACATACACACATTCGTATCCACGTATTCGTCGTGCCATTGATTTTCTGAATAATACATGCATAATAATACTTATAAAAATAACTCTGGGTTATATAAATATGATCTGTATAACCCAGGATATTAGTGGCAACTGCTATGCTCTGCTACACATTTATTTCACCTGTCTATCACTTGTATGAGTGAGTTTACATGTTCAAAGTAATCATGGATGCGTTATATCAGTCCGGCATTTGTGTATTGGTTTTTTATTGTCTTTACTTGATATCAGTCTTAATATTAAGCATATTACGAAAATTTAAGTAAATTAAGATGATTCTGTTAATATGTTGTTGAATTTGACCTTGAAACATTATAATAATGTTTTGTAATTGTGCATTGAAGTGTATATTAAAATTTATGGTCTATGGTCTCCTACACATTTATTTTACCTGTCTATTAAAATCCTGTACGTGTATGCCTTTCTACTAAAACGAGCTAGCCGTAAATGCACGATTTTCCAGCATGTGCTCTCTCCAATGTGATGTCTAATGCAAATCGGTAAATAATGCTAGATTTGAGTTTTTTAATATAAATGCATGATTTCCCAACGTGTGCTCTCTGCAATAATAGAGTAAATACTTTCAACGTCGTGAAAGTGGGGAATGTCAGCTCTCATGCTGTTTCCCGTCTTTCACGAAAAGACGCAAGTGCCACTATAGGCAGTTATTTATTATTTATCTATCTATATATCTTGGCAGGATTGTAACTCGCGGGCGCACACATACTTACACACACGTGCACACACACACACGCACCCTAAAGTTTAAATTTCTAATGCAAATGTGATTCAAGTGCGTACACTAGCTCTAGCTAAGAGCAGTATGCCAATATTTCATTGCATGCCTCCGTAAAAATCGGGATTGCATTCCTGCCTGCCTTGCTCGCAGACTTACTGCCCACCTGCACGCCTGCCAGATTCGTTGTCTAGCTATCTGACTAGACACATACGAATGCATATATATAGATGTTTATATCATATATATATAATATATTTTTTGTGTGTGTGCTAAATGTGTGACATATCTAATGGAAACGAGGCATGTGTGATTCACCCCGCTGCACTCTGCCTAAGGATAGCGTGAAAATCGTTGACATTGTGAAGATGGGTAATATAGTAAATCTATAAAAATAATAGAGTAAACATTTTCAACGTCGTGAAAGTGGGGAATGTCAGCTCTCATGCTGTTTCTCGTATTTCACGAAAATACGCACGTGCAACTACGCAGTTATTTATCATCTATCTATCTATTCATCTTGCCAGGATTGTAACGTTCATATATATATATGTATATATATATATATATATATATATAATCATATATATATGTATCTATATTCATGATAAATGCCTGCCGTTATTCGTGTGATTGCTTGACTGCGCGCCTCACAAGGCAGTTTGCCTATCTATTATCTATATGTCTATATTCAACTAAGATGTATTAATGTTCGTCTACAATAGTATATATCGGTAAATAATGCTAGATTTGAGTTTTTTTATGTAAATGCATGATTTCCCAGCGTGTGCTCTCTCCAATAATAGAGTAAATATTTTCAACGTCGTGAAAGTAGGGAATGTCAGCTCTCATGCTGTTTCCCGTCTTTCACGAAAAGACGCAAGTGCCACAATAGGCTAGCTAAGAGCAGCATGACAATATTTCATTGCATTCCTCCGTAAAAATCGGGATTGCATTCCTGCCTGGCTTGCTCGCTGACTTACTGCCCACCTGCGCGCCTGCCAGGTTCGTTGTCTAGCTAGCTGCCTAGACACATACGAATGCATATAAATAGATGTTCATATTATATATATATATATTAACGTCTCGTCGGCGCCAAAGTCCTGGGCGCGGGAAATGAATTACACCGCGCAACCGACTTTTCCCGCGCGGTTAACAGCATAAAAACACGAACACCTAAATAGTTATTACGTTGTTGCCACATTATGGTAGAGGAGGTTCCCGCGCGCGCCCGCCACGACACGCGTACGTTTGCGCGTGCGGCCGGGATGATTGCGCGCGCCGGAACGGGCCGCCCCGTAGACGCGCAGACTCGCGGAGCCGAACAACAGCCCACGCGGGTCGCGTGAGTGCGACGCCACGGGAGCGACCAACACCCCCCAAATTTAGTCCCAAAATATGGCAACACGCATAAGATTGTAGCTAGCAGGGCTCGAATTTCTCGACTTCGAAGACAACCCGCAAGGACCTGTTGCTTCGTAAACCAACCATCCGTGCAAACCCGACAAACCCCTACTGATTCGAATAACCTTTACTAGATGTGCCTATGTGTAGAAATACAGTTGTGCACGCGACAGGTATTGCATACGATATGCCGTTGTCCGGCAATGTTACTATTATTCCCTACGGAGGCCGGCATCATCATGTACCCAGTTAATCCATTAAGCAGTTATCCATTTGAGTTACATGACTATATTATGACTATATAGTGAGCTGTATGAAACTAAATCACACAGGAATATAAGATACACTGTGAATCTGTCAAGGCGTTATCCAATGAATCCGTACGGAGCTCCTCGGGGTGATCGCCTGAAACCCGCAAGAAATACGTAGCACGACCCACCCCTCAGATTCGCGGATCTGCTAAATAACCGTTATATCACATGACCCACGTATATATATATATATATATATATATCCGTACACTGTATATACCCCTGTAGCTTAGGACATGAATACTGTAATTGCGGGAGTAGGGTTGCGCGCCACGCACGTCCTACGTATCG